GTCTCTCTCTCTCTCATCATCATCAAGGTGGCTAGGAGATGTTAACTACCTCGCCTGGTATACAGGTCGTGGGTTCAATCCCGACCCTGACGCCTGCTGCTGTATATTTGGAGTCTGTGTGTCTCTCTCTCATCATCATCACGGTGGCTAGGAGATGTTAACTACTTCGCCTGGTATACAGGAGGTCGTGGGTTCGATCCAGATCCTGACGATGCCTGCTGCTGTAAATTTGGAGTTTGCCTCTCTCTCTCTCTCATCATCATCACGGTGGCTATGAGATGTTAACTACCTCGCCTGGTATACAGGAGGTCGTGGGTTCGATCCCGACCCTGACGCCTGCTGCTGTATATTTGGAGTCTGTGTGTCTCTCTCTCTCTTATCATCATCACGGTGGCTAGGAGATGTTAACTACCTCGCCTGGTATACAGGAGGTCGTAGGTTCCATCCCGACCCTAACGCCTGCATATTTCTAGTTTGCATGTTCTCCCCATGATCACGTGCATTTTTCTACGGGTCCTCCGGCTTTATTCCCTCCACATTTAGAATTATGCGTTTAGAATGTTTAGCTGCTATACATTCCCACTCGATAAGCCACTTCATTTGGCAATCATTTGTGGCCAGGTCGCTTCTGAAAAGGGGCGATATGGCTCAGTGGGCCTTACCAGGTAAAATACACAGTTTAGTTTGTTGAAAAGGTTTCATTTTAATTAAGTCGAGACGAAAATTTATTAACATATCTCGAAAGAGGAAACGTTAATTCGACAAGTTTAGGTCGACATAACCTTACCACATGGTGGTTTCAATCAAAGAGATTCTCGTTAATGCATTTAGGCCAATTTAATTCCTGTTAATGTGAATAGGCACATACATGCAGGAAAACAAAGCGTTTAAAATTGTAAATTCTCCGAAACTTTCCGCAGAGATTAAAAAACACAAACCTGTATGCTGTGTGCAGTAGCCATGCGCAAGATAATATTTTAACAAAATGGCAGTGGATTGTGCAAAGTTTACTTTGGGATGTGGTTAGAAACATGTAATCTAAGATGTATACAGAGCGTATGTGAGATAAATCAATACAAGACTAAATCATTCATCTGTGTAATACAAAAAAAACACATTCTCTATTTATCCCCAGTAGTTGATGTTACATTTAATAACGTGACACAATTTAGAATGTACTGTCCGTCTGTCACCTGTCACCCCCCCCCTCCCACCTTCCCACGTCAGTCGAGATTGTTTGACCATACTTCACCACGCTGGTGACAGCGCGCGTTGGTAAAGGGTGGCGGGGGTCAAGGAACAGCCAAGACATGACTCGCCACCGATGTTGCCGTGGCTTAACACGAACTTGGGTCGCCGGGTTCCATAGCACGTCTAGCGTTGTTCCCGCTGTGGCACAGGGTCCGCTTGTCGGCATTGTCTTCTCCATTTGGCTCGGTCCAGGGCATCTTCGGGGGATGCGTTGACCGTCTTCACGTCTTCCTTTATTCGATCCATCATCCATCGCTTCTTCGGACGTCCGCGTGGACGGTGGCCCTCTGGCTCAACACGCATGGCAGTCTTGGCCACCGATGACTCTTCACTTCGCATCACATGGCCGTACCACCGAAGCCTTGCCTCAAGCATCTTGTCCGCAATGGGGGCCACACCAAGTCGCTTCCGAACGTCTTCGTTCATGACACGATCCCATCGAGTCAGTCCGAGGCTCCATCTGAGCATCCTCATCTCCATGGTATGGAGGGCTTGTTCGTGTACAGTTGTGGCTGGCCATAGCACAGCTAGCCATTATGCCCACCACTCCCCGGACTTGCTAAGCATTTCAGTTTATACGGCGCTTAAAAAGTATTCCTCTTCCAAGACGCCTGGACGTGCGTGGAAGAATCCGGTCAAAGTATCTTCTGACACGGGTTCTCTAGACAGAGCTTCCTCTACTGGAGGCCCTTCCACACAGCAGCTGGTGCGAGCAAGACGTTCAGGGCTGCACCTTGAACTCTACCCTTTCCAATACTTTAGCATGTCAAAGCCGAACTTTCTTATTATCACATTTCACCAACCACTCACTTTACCTGTCACAATTTAGCAAAGGCCATCACCCCCGAAAGCTGTCGTGACTGCAGGGATTCATCTTCTTGGTTCGTTCGGTAAAGTCACGTAGAAGGGAAATAATAAAATAATAAAAATAAAACATAATAAAATAATTCTCACGACGTTTCGGCCACAACGCAAGCTGCCGTCCTCAGGTGAAGAACAGGTCTGTCGGAAAGACAGCGTCTGAATCAACACCACCACGCTTGGCAGCGTATATCTCTTGATAGTTTGAATTGATAGAGAAAAGAGGCAAGATCCACGTCAACACACTCGGGGGCTTCACAGTCGTCTGGCACGTCGCGTCTGGCACGTGGCGTCTTGCACAGAACCATTGCAGTCCACGATTCACAGCCGCGATGTCTTCAGATTGTGATGCAAAACTCGCGGTAGTTTACTGCGGGGGGGAGGGGGAGGATGGAATCCAGGAAGCCACCAAACTTCCCCCTCCCTTGCCTCCAGCCTGACCTCGTGAGCGCGAAGACCCTCGTAGCGGCCACGTCTAAATGGACACTACACGCCGCGCCTCTCGCTCTCTGCTTGTGCTCACAGTAGCAAATGACAGCACCGTATGAAGTGGGGAACCCCTGCTCGTTTGGAGAAATGCTGCCGCAGTCAATCGCTCGCCATCACCCAAACCCTACTCCCCAGTCCAGGGGTTCTCAATCTTCAGTTAGCGACTATCCTACGTTTGTGCGGCTCTTCTGCGTCTCGAATACACACCCGAGTCGATGCACGGCTACGCGCGCCAGATGATTGGTACACCCACCAGATGATTGGTACACCCCCACCCCTGTCTGACGTAGATCGCGCCGATTGCCATTCAAACCGAGACTTTGTGCGTGCTGGTTATGTGTTTATGTATGTGTGCATGCATGCGCTTGAAGTGACGTAGAGTTAAATCAAGATGTGTGTGTGTGTGTACGTGTGGTGGGTAAGTACTGTTTGACAGCACAGCAACAGCAGTCTGTTAAGGCTAAACTAAAGATCTGTGTGTGCGTCTCGCGTGACGTAGTAATGTACCGATCGCTCTTGAGTTTGAATCCGCGCGCACGAGATCGCGTGGCAGGTATTTAGCACTCGTCAGACGCGTGCAGAGTGCAACGGCCTTAATTGCAATTTGAACGGAGACCGATAAACGTGGAGGTGGTCACCAAGACTGGACTTTGGAAAGAACACATGGTTGTCCCAATTCAATGCCCATATTTGAGTATGATGATGATTATGATGATGATGAGTATGATGATGATGAGTATGATGATGAAGATGACGTGCGGGTCCATTAGCTAAACGCGCCCGATAACCCTGTGTCCCACGACATCCAAACATCACTGAGCGGCTGCAGTTTTTTTTACTACAGAATCTATACAAGACGCCGCGTACACACACACACACACTTGGCTTAGCCAATGTGCACATCGAATTTAAATCGTGGGTATCGCTCATAGATGCGTGCATCGAATTGTGCGGCTAGGAATCGAGTAGTGATCATTTGTGCGCGTTAAGTTTTTTTTATCACACAGATACTACATCATAAGACGGATGGACCAGTGTGTAAGAGGAGGCCAACACACACACACCACGTCTCGTCTAGTTCACTCTGGCGCAGACCCTTCTGTCGTGTTAGAAGGGGGCATCGTTTATTTTAGGGCTGCAAATTTATCGTTTTCATTTGCTACAGATTCTACACGGCACCATTAAGAGAACAAATACAAAATAATCGACTCGTGATGCCGAATCGTGGGTCATCGTTAATCGTTACCAACCCCTAGTTTACAATTAGACTTTAAAAAAAAATTACTACTCTACTTACAATGCACAGTACATTTCACAGCTCTTTGCCAATCCACTGCTGGTGGTTGTTTGACCATACTTCACCACGCCCGGTTAGTCCGAGTTGCTCCTGGGAATGGCCCAAGACCAGTTCGGATAGCTGCGATATCAACTTGCAATAAGTAGGGTTTCGTTTGAGGAGCGTGCTAATCACTGCACCACTGCTCCCATTAATCTCTCTCCGCTTAAGACAGATACAATATTTCTCCTCGTGAACTTTGTTGACCGCGATCCTACATTAATTTATTCCGCAAGTCAAACTTGCGACACTGATAAACACACCGTTAGCTTCAATGGGAACAGTTTTTTTTTTCCAAAGGTAGAATTTTCTTTTATCCGTACAATTGATTTTCAAAGCGTCGCGTTTACTTGAATACGTGTCGCGTGTCCAACAAGCAGAAGGCAGCTGGCAAACGAAGAGCGCAGAAGAGACGGACCCAAGACGCGACGACTAACGTCATAAGTTCCTGCAGTTGTGGGTATAGCAACGCGCGATTGCCAACTATCACATTCTTAACTGAGTATACAATGACTCGATGTTTCATTGTATACAATATGACTGCATTTTTTAATGCCGTGACTCAACTAGAGACACTCTTTGACACGTTGGATATACAGCACTCGTCCCATGTGTTACAGAATCATCCTCTCAACCAATACACGAGAAGCTCCATCTCATCCGATAAAGAATCGTCATACGATCCGATACACAAGAACCATTAGCTCATATGATCAAGAACCATGACTACAGAACTCCTGTTTCATCCGAAACAGAAGCTCAGAAACAGAACCATGCCCTCATGCAACATAAGAACAGCTGACCCCTTCGATACAGAACCATTGATGTCATCGGATAAAGCACCACTCTTATAGCTCTCGTTTCATTCAATACATCACGTCCGATGAAGAACCCTTGTCTCATTCGATACGACACCACTGACCCATCCAATACACGCCCCATAATGTTTATGTAAATCACACTTACGTTGTGCAATTTACATCATATCAACACAATGGACACAATCTGTTCCGCAACTCTCTCTCTCTCCCCAGTGTGAACGGACGCAGAAAGAGTGAACATCATTTGAGACCGCGGTGCTGTACGGGCTAGGTAACATAATGAAGGGGTAATGCATCTATAGTGTGTGTGAGCACGTGCCCGTGTGTGTGTGTGTGTAATGTTCTTTACACTGCACTTGTGCACAGTTCGCATCGATATTGACAAATCTCATCACGAGCCACGCGTGTGCTTGCGCACGTCACTGTAAACAGTGAACAGTGACAAGGATTAAGGTGGTAAAGAGACAGCATCCAATTGGCCGGCTCTGTTTAGGGGTTATGGAAAGGGTGTTAGAGGATATATGGACACACAACGCGACTAGAGTTATTGTTAGAGCGTGACTGGACGATGTGGTTCAGACCTACAAGAAGGGTTGGGCCTGGTGGGTTAGTGTCATTAGAAATAGTAGGGGGCTAGGGTCAGGTTGGCTCTGTGTGCTTGGTCAGTTACAGTTAGAGGCAGGATCTGGATGGCTAGTATGGTTAGGGATACAAGTATGGCTAGGTCTACTACGTAGCCTAACAGCCCCTACTCCATTTTACAAAGCATGTACATTTCAGTACTGCAGGTTTACAGCGTCACGCGCGCACAACTTTCTGTTGACGAAGTGGGGGGCGAGGGGGAGTATTGAACGCACCACAGATTTAACTCAATGCATCAGGGGGATCCGATGCAACACAGAGAAACGCAATGCAACACATAGCAGAGCAAACTTGATGCAACCCAATGGAAACACGCCGCACCTTTCCTGGGGTATCCGTTCACAGGTGTCAAACACGACAGCGACTCCTCTCCACCCGGCTCTCCACAAGCGCTACTAACCACGTGCCAATCGCTCACGACCACCACCAGCAGCAGCAAACAAGCACTCCTCCCGCCCCCTGCAAGATTTAGCTCGACATGGAGGGCACACAGGCAAGGACTCAATAGTTGCCCGCCTGCTAGTGTCTCGTAGTTGCACGTGGGTGCACGAGCGGTGAGTGTACGCGTGTAAAGTGGACGTGTAGCGGTGAGCGCGCTGTGCACTGCCAGTGCGCGTGTGTGCACGGGGGAGCGCTGCGACCCGAGTTTTCGGATCTCGCTCACGGCCAACGCAAGGGATGATTATCTCAACCGGTCCTGGGCCTCCCCTAGGTCGACTCAGCCTAAGATAAGCACTTGGTGCGGTGTGTGAAAACATCGCCACACTGGGAAAAAAAGGGCGACTAGCGTGGTGATTGGCCATACCACCACCACCCCCTCTTGTGGTGCCTCTTCCGGCCTTAATAGATGCTCGCTAACAACAACACTTGGCGCAACAGCCTGTTAATGGACATCGGCGGACCTTTGTATCTTGTGTGTGGGTAGAGAGAAGTGGGTAGAGAGAAGTGGGTGGGGAGAGGGACACATAACAGCGACGACGCTATTCATACACGTGTTGATTTCAGCTCAAAGGAGAGAAGGGGGAGTGGATTCAAAAACCTTTTGAAGCGACTTCATTGTGAGAATCAGAATGGATAGGATCACCACGTATTAACCTCCCCGTCCGACAAATGACCCGCATTCAAACAATCACGGCTCCCTCCCTATCTCTTTTCTGCTCCCCCATTCCGATCCCATATATATATCCGTTTAAATCATTATTGATATTTAAAATGTACCAACCACGCGAGATTATCGTACAAGTAGATTTCATCCTCCTCTATCGCAGAGGGGATGCTGGGTGATGACGATTGTGATGATAATGATGATGCGAAATCAAATGCACACACGTGATTTACCTACGGATCAGCAGAACCGGTTTTGGAATCAAACCGAATCTTTGCAGCTGCGTCCGGGGTGGGGAGAGGGTGTTCAAAAGAAGACGCGATAATCCGCCTTTCATCCACTCTCTCACTCCCCTTGGGCATATGGATTCAACGATAGCACTAATATTGTAATAACATAATAACAATACTACAGAAAAAATGATGACAACAGGTATAAATAATACGCTGTACGAGTTCACAAATGGCAAGCAACGATCTCAGTGTATGTCCCGCAGTCGTCAGATTTGTTTTGTTGTCAATGGAATTTGAAATCATTAATAACAATAAAACTAATAATACATGTTTCTGTCACAGTCCGAAAGCATAAACCTATTGATCGTAGTCATAGCAATCGTGACGGCGTGCCCAAACAAAGCATGGAATCTAAGTGTTAAGAAGTTGGATGGCTATGGTAGATCTGGGGTTAGGTTAGCGGTGAGGATTTGGTTGGCGTAGTGTCTGTTTGGTTAGTATATTTAGAGCCTCATTGCCTCAACATGACCCTAAGCCTAACATCTAACCCTAACCCACTGCAGCCAACGCATCAGGTGCATAGGTCGGTAGGCAGGTGGACAGATAGAGACGTGTTAGACGAGTAGACACGTGGGTAGGTCGGCTCACGGCAGACACGTAGGCTTGTGGGTAGTGAGGTCGGCAAGACGTGTACGCAGGTACAGTCTGTTCTCCTATAATAAGGCGGGATGCTGCTGGATACTTTTTAGATGCGATCACGCGCCTGCTGCATACGCATCTCACGTGTTATCGCGGGCTGTGCTCTACCCTACATTATATACTACCGCGTTATAGGAGAACGGACTGTGTTAAGGAAGAGCAGCTCTACGTGTTAGCAAGCGAGGTGGGTCACAACAAAATCGTGTCCTGTTGCATTAGGGATGTAACGATTAATCAATGAAAATCGTGAGCACCGCCATCAATTCAAATGCATCACTCTGCTTCGCTGAGACATGCACGTGTCGAACAGTGCACGGTTGAAATATCAACGATTCCAAATGATCGTACCGCAACAGATTCCACGTGCACGTCAAGGGCAAATAACAACACACGGTAATCAATTTAAGAATCGAACAGCGTCCGTCGAACCGTGACAATTAATCGAACCGTTAATTAGTTATACCCTTATATGTAATCGTTACATCCTTAACTTGTCTATCTATGATCATGACGATAAAGGCAAACACGCGACATGGTGGGTAATGGATGGTGAACGGGGCGGGGAGGGAGGGGTTACACACCATGCAGCCACCACAATCAAATCATAGACTCCACGTGCCTTCACAGGTGCCTTCAGTCACGTTGCTGCTTTACTGCTGCGACCTATTTCTTTGGGCCCAATGTTCGCTTGCGGGTGGCTCTACCTGCCCAATAAACCAACTCACCCAGTGGCGACTGGGTTATGGGGCCACACCTTGCTGATGAGTTTAGTGAAGTAGAACCCGGCATCCTTTTTTTTTACTTCGGATAAATAAAAAAGATACCACTGGGACGCGCTGGAAGAAGCTGAATTTGGCTGATAGATCAAATGAAGCTCGTCACTTCTGTCACAGTTCATCCGACAGGTGTTGTCCAGGTGTGCACCGCTGCCAACGCAGACCCCTAATTATTTTTGCCACTTTTTTATTTTAATGATTCCACTTGTTGAGCCAGGAAAAACCTCACCGAGGGCTCCAGGCTCTTTTCCACTGAGGGTTCTATTGCTATATTGGGATGTTTAGCCAATTCCTTTGGCTTTCACATGGAAGGAATCGAATGAGCTCGGAGTCAACCCACCAGGCGTAACACACGAGGGGGGTGACGCTCACCACTGCCATCTTCTGGCAGCATCTCGCAGCTCTGCACCTACAACACACGGCAAGCCCTGGTGGTCACCCGTACAAGTGCTACTCGGGCTCAAATCTCTGCCTTTTGCCCAGCTTCGGAGGCCTGACGAGATTGAGCATTCAGGGTGATTTGGTCGGAGGCATTTGACGATAGATTATGTGTCACACTATTTACGTAGAGCGGTTAAAGAGTCCAGCCCTCACACGTACGTGATTGTTTTCCCCATTAGTAATGATCTGCTCGCTGAAATTACCCTCGCCATGGCTGGGTTCTCTCCTCAACCGACCTCGCTCGTTCGTGGACAAGGCCCCCATGTCACCGTCTCGTCAACAACGCCCACATGTCACCGCCTCGTCAACAACGCCCCCATGTCACCGTCTCGTCAACAACGGGCGGCAGAGGTCACAACCGGGTACCCGATACCCGTACCCTACCCGATACCCGGCTACCCGTACCCAATCGGGTACGGGTATGGGTACCCGTTTGCGACTCTGGTGCGGCCGGGTACGGGTAGGCCGTGAGTCACTGGTGAGTAACTGTTTATCACTCATTTCGGGTAGGGTACGGGTAGGGTACGGGTAGGGTACGGGTAGGGTACGGGTAGGGTACGGGTAGGGAACGGGTACCCATTTGCGACCCTGGTGCGGCCGGGTACGGGTAGGCCGTGAGTCACTGGTGAGTAACCGCGTGTCACTCATTTCGGGTAGGGTACGGGTAGGGAACGGGTATCCGTACCTAGCCGCGTATGGGTACCCATTTGCGACCCTGGTGCGGCCGGGTACGGGTAAGGAATCAAAACCCGTTTGCGACCTCTGACGGGCGGGCAAATCCGCCAAGGCGATGGTCATACGTTTCGTTTTTGTCGTCAAGGAGGTGAATATGGCGAGAGACGTTATCTCAAGTGATAAAAACAGAACGTCCCAGACACGTGGAATTCTCCTGTATTACTTTCGTCTGTATTTCCACGTCTGCTGACAAGGACGACAATTTGTAAAGACATTGCTCAAAAGTGGCAACTGCGAGCAGCGTAGCACAGCACAGCGAGTAATCTCAACGCGCGCACAGCCGAGGCGTCTCCTCCGCTCAACCGACCAGTCGGCGACGCTCACCTTCCGTGAGCGAGGGGTGCAACGTCCACCGTTCTCATGGCGTGAACCGCAATTTCCGCACGACAAACACACGAATACAGTTATACGAATAAAGTACGAGCAACTGACCTCTGCGATGCAAAACAGTAATCCGTGGGTTTTCAAAAACAACTTTTAAAAAAAGTAATCCCCAAGGAAAAACTTGTGCGCTGATTTAAGTGAAACAGTAAAGTTGTTTTTTTTTATCAACCCCCCCCCCCCCTCGCATTAAGACGCTTTATCAATAAGTGCTCATAACCAGAACCCCCGTGATTTACGAGTTTATGGTGAAGGTGGTGGAAAAACCTGTGCCATGGAATGGTGTTTCTGTGTTCCTCTGAGCCAGGAAAATATGCAGTGGGACAAATTCACGCGATGGTGGAAAGGCAGTTTCCACCAATACTTGGGGTGGAACAAAAAACTAAAATGCCCACAATTTGATATAAATTTGGTTGCTTTTGCAGGTAAAATTTGCATCCAATTTATTTCCACGAATCTGGCTATCTTTTGCATCTCAAATCAGCAGAAAAGGCGACTTCCTACAACACGTGAATCTGACCCATTCTGTTGAAGTGTTATTGTCACTCGCTCATGGCAACACCACAAAAAACACACGTGTTGAAACTTCTGGGGGGTTTACTCGGTCCATTCCTTCTCGTCACTGTTAGCCTCTCCATTAACCTCCTGATCGTCAACCTCATCATACAGTAATGCTTAGACCATGAGACAACCCCCTCTGTGTAGCAATACACCACAGGGAACACATCACCCCATCTTCTTGTGGCCGTAACCGTCATTCGCTTCACAGGGTCCGTTTCAAACCACGACATCACGTCTAGTTGACACTTTCGCATGTTTTTTTTGTCGTCGTTTCTAGTTGACAACGTTGACAAAGTACCCTGATAACGGTGGTCATAAGCACCATGAGGGCAGACATTGATAGTTTAGGTATCTAACAATTCACTCTCCACGCACCCACCAATTCCATACAAATGTCTTGAATTAAAGCAGGGGTCGATTTTTTTTGTTATTGTTGTCTTGTTTGTATTGTCTGATTTGTACCGTCCAAATTTTCCGTCTTATTTGTACCATCTCGTCTGGTCCGTATCAACGCAATTGTCCCGTCGCATTTGCTGTCCATCTAGTTTGTCTCATCTCGCTCGTCCGTCAAGACTGTTGGAAATATTTGCATCACATCTGCACAAATCAACCATCAACCGATTCTCAACGCGCATGGTTTGACGCACGTGTTGTTCGCGTACGAATGAACTCGAATCAATGCACATTTACTGATAGCGGGGGGGGGGGGGAGGGTGGGGGGGGGGACGTGTGAGGGGCACGTGACCAGCACCACAAGAGCCGTCATCTCTCCTTTCCTCGGCGGCATTCATAGCTCCTGCGATAGAACCCAGTTGACATATTGACCTATGGGGGGGGGGGGGGGGTGTGGAGGGAGGCCCTCACCGGGTTCTCATTCCAGGCCGAGCGGACCTATGTGCGCAGACGCTCGGCGGGTTTTGGTAAACCAGATGGAAGTTGAACCTGGGTCACAGGGACTGGGAGCACGGCCTCAAAAGACTGAGACTGCCACACTGACCCGCTCTCCCCCATAACCCCCCCCCCCCCCCCGCAAAATGAAACACGCCAGAGGCACCGCAATACAAGCTGGATCGATGTTACGAGCCGGATTAACGCTTCGAACCGAATCAACGCTTCATGCCGGATCAACGTTCCAAACCGAATCAACGCTTCAAGCCAGATTAGCGCTCTAAATTGGATTAATGCTTGAAGTTGAATTAACGCTCCAAGCCGGATTAGGGCTCTAAATTGGATTAATGCTTCAAGTCGAATCAACGCTGCAAGCCGGATGAGCGCTTCAAGCCGGATCGACCCCACCAGCCAATTTAATGATCACACGCAGAATCAACGCTGTTTTAGCGAATCATATTCTTAAGAAAATCACCAAGCCCCCGCACCATACCACACTCCAGCCTCGAGATCCGAGGGCAGAGCCGAGCCGAGCCGAGGCGAGGTTGGCATCGTGGCGCGCTGAGTGCGGGGGCATTCGGACTCGATGCCAAATGGAAACGCCGTGGCCAAGCCGGATCAACCAAGTGGCCCACCGAGAGGGAGGAGGCAGCGCCGAGGGCACACGCTTGCTAGACAGGAGCTCGCCAACTAGCGGGGAACGTTAGCCGCACGAGCATCGGACGCGAGAGGGCCCTGAAGATGAGAAACCTGAACACAAGGCAGCCCCGAACCCAAGACGACTTTGAATCTAAGACCGTACTTTGAACACAAGACAGCCTTTAAAGTAAGCCTACTCTGAATATAAAACGGTCTTGAATACAAGACAGTCTTTAACACAAGGCAAGCCCAAGGACGCAAGACAGTATTGAACACAAGGAAGAGAAAACAAGCACTCGGCTGCCTGCCCAGACCTGGAATGTTGGTTACTGCAAGTGGTGTTCAGAGCACAGTATTAGGTTGTACCTTGTTAGGTTTTTATTTTGCTGCCCAGTTCATGGTCTTTGGTGTTTGTTAAGAATGCTTCATATTTTACTTTACGCTTGCTTTGTTTGCTTTTTTATTCTTCATTTAGACGGAAAATTTTGAAACCACGATTCAGGAAATCCGACAAGCCTCATATGATGGCAGAAGCACCGATGTCCAAATTGACAATGAGCCGTGTTGATCACTCAAGACTCCGCGTGAATTATTTTTTTTACGGTCAAGGATCGTCGAAGAAAGTAAGAACTCGTGAGTAGCAACCATTCACTTGTGCGCTTACAGAATTCGCGTTTAAACTTTGTCAAACAAAAAAAAAATATCACGACGCTTCCCTCCGCCAACACTGATTTGTCGACCACTGCTTTGTGTGGGCGAAGGCGGTAAATCGGCCAAGACATCTCTGGCTCCGACCGTTTCAGCAGCTCAAGCCCCGGTGATGTGTGCCCAGACCCCGTGTCGTGCCAGGGCTGGCGTTGTTGAGAACGGGGCGACGATTACCACTCCACGTCGAAACGCCACGACGCGGTTCCTGAGCGGTTTAAGCTCAAGCGGGTAGATAAGGGGTGTAACGATTCACCCAGCTGACCCATAACCACCACAGCCGGCATCATTTTTGTATTTAGTTTGTTGTCCTTTGCTCGCACCTCCGATACGCACGGTTGGCTAGGCATGGCGCGAAATAAGTTGAACATACGTAGATGAAATGTCGCAATCAAGATTTACTGTAAGAATCAACGTTTCGGGCGAACGTGGCAGATGCTGGAGACTGCGAGGGTCTCACAAGAACCCAAACACTTGTGAGTACGGAAATCGACAACCATCGATTAATTTAACGCTAATTGATGATGCAACACAAGCGTAAGAATCAACATTAATCGATGAATCGATGCATCGTTACACCGCTAGAGCAGAGGTTTACAAAAACCTTATAAAAAGAGACGTCGCCACAGATCGTGCGCTCGGTTTTTTTTTTCATCAGTCCTTTCGTTAAGTTGATTGTAGCACGTCGTTTTTTTTTTGCGTGGCTATGTTTACCCGGGAACAAAAATAAAACGCTTCCCAACAGCTTCACGTTGCTTTGCACAAAAAAACAAAACAAATCATGACATTTACCGATCCACTTAATTGCCAGAGCTGATACCAAATTCACCCCACGTGTGTTTTCCCACAACAAACAGTGGGGGGGGGGGGGGAGAAAGTATTTGATTTGTCCCATGTAAAGAAAGCCATTGTGCGACCACACGGAATGGATGGGATTTGAGCTGTGCTGTGTGCAAACAGCAGACACAAGTCACGAGGAGGATAACGAAAAAAAAAAACCTTGAGCCTGGATTCTGAGGACTCTGCCGTCTTTTTTGTGTTTTTGTTCCCTGTACAGCGGAAAACACTGCGATTGTTTTTTTTTTTTGTTGCAACATAGCAAATGTAATCTTTTATATATATTGTCATTTAAGCGCTGGCGAATTAATTTCAGGTGCTTGTTTTTGCAGAGGCAGGGTTGGACGCTGGCGTATGCAAGAGAACAATACAATTCAGAGAAAATAAAATAATATCAGCGGCTCAAAAATAGAAACCTTCCACATCAAAGGGAAGAGACGGTCACGGTTAAAATGTTTAAATAATTCCCCCACCAGCACTAGTCTTAATCGACAAGACAAATCTCCTGAAAATCCAGGTTCTTGGTTTTGATGTCCTCACGTGGGAGAAGGGGATGGGGTGATTGACAGGGGGTGGTAGCAGGTGGGTGGATGTGGCTGGACGATAGAATGGAGAGAATGCATTTCGGTCGGCAGGATACAGACAGCACTGGTGCGCTACGGGCGAGTGTTTGTAATAAGAAAAGACGTTGCCGGGAAAATTCTCAGTCGGGGCGGTGGTGGTGGTGGGGGGGGGTACAGCAGTTACATCTCAAAGGAAAGTGGCGGTTCCAAGATGAGATGATAAGGTGGGGCAACGGTTGCGCGACCGGGCAAGCTTCAAAGTTCCCCGAGTCCCGTACTTCTGGTTGCACCGGTTGGAGGTCGGCCTCGGTGGCTGTGTTGGCATTGGGGATTCAGCTGGGTCTGTTGTGTGGGGGGGGGGGGGGGGCACGGCGGGGTCAGGTAGAGGGGGGCGACTCCATGGTGGCCAGGATGTGTGCGATCTCCGTTCGCTGCGTCGCTCCGATGTGCTGCGTCATGTGCACAATTGAGTCCATGGCCACCTCTGGGTTAGCCTGCACCAGGCTGCTTCCAGACGGGGTGAATAAGGGAGGGGGTAAGGGAAGGGGGGCGGGAGTGGGGAGCCGGTAGGGGGGGGGGGCAAACAAAGAGACCTTTACATCAACGATGCTGCTCGTCACAACGTGTGCCAGCTTTGTCGAATCAATCAATGTTCTTTATTTGACCGGGTGAAGCCAATTGAGATTCATTATCCCTTGTGCATGGATGAGTTGTGGAATCGGAGTTAAATTCGGACGGTTGTTGAACAATGGCGCAAGGGTCTTGGACGTGAGTTGTGACATACACAATGGTAGTGAATGTGATTTTTTTAAATTAACGGTTCATTCTTAAAAACTTGCATGATGATGATGATAAGGATGACACACCTCTGATTAGCACGGGTGGCTACGTACGGTTCAACATACATACATATGAATAAAGATAATTATTTTAAAAACGCTAATGATAATTTTCACGAAAAAGTTTATGATGATGATCTTTGTAACAATGATACAAAATTAGAATGGCAAAATGAGTGAGGATTGATTATTTTAATGGTGACGATTAACACGACGATGTTAATAATAACAATGACAGCGATAACAACCAGGTCGTAACAATCGCGTAATGATCGTGGTGACGATGAACGAAGTTGGTAATAATTATGATGACGATGACTATGGCAGTGGTTACCACTGTCGACCATGACAAAGGTGATGATGCTATGAGAGATGGCGGATACGGCAACACTGTTGCCGAACTATGCTGCCGACGCGGACGACGATGCACGTGCCTGCGTATCTGCTGCAGCACATAGTCGCGCTGGATGTACTTGATGTTCTCCTCGATGACCGAGCGCGTGCCCTCCTCCTCCTTCGCCAGCTGTCGCTCCAACCACTCCACCACCGCCTGGTTGTTGTCCCACAGGTAGGCCTGCCACCCCGTACAGCAGAGATCACAATCAGAACCTTTGTTTATGACTGGTGGAACCCGATGAGCTATGAAGCTCTTTTTCAGCGATGTGCGGTATGGGGCAGGTCAATAGCAGAAGAGGGAGGGAGGGAGGGAGCAGGAAGCAGGAGGTGGAGGGATGAAGAGGAGCTCAAACCAAAGTGGCGCCACGCCACGTGTGACACGATGCCCTTTGCACTTGCGCTTGTGAGCGACATGGACGCAAAGGCTGGGATGCGGCTTGTGTATTTTGTACTGTGGAGTCGAAGTAATTGCTCGTGGCTCATGGGATCGTGGCTTACGGATCACGGATCCGGTCCCTGTGGCTCATGGATCGCGTTTCATGGCTCGCTCATCATGCATCGTGGTTCATGGCTTAAGTATCATGATCGTCGTTTATGCATCCTTCCTGACTTGTATCATAATAGCTTGTGGTCTGTGGCTCAAGTATTGTGGCCCATGAACTATGGCTCTAGGACCCGTGTATTGTGGCCTGTGCATTGTGTATCGACTCATGGCTCTCGCATGCATCTCTCCACGTGTCTTGACACACTTGTTCCATGGTTCTCTGTCAGTGTCCAGTGATGAACGAGATGGCCCAGTGAGGATAATATGGAGCGATGAGATCAGCCCAAATTGCAGGAGTGAGACAGATCGTGGCATCCCAAGACTGTGATGCATGATGACAGTGTGGGGAGGCCTTCATCCAGCAGTAGAGAGACAATGGCTGACAATTATAATTCAGGTTTCCCTCGCTTTATGTGGGTTCATTTTGTGCAATTTTGCGCATATGCGGCTCACCTATTTCGACCCAAATTTTGTGATGTTATGCGGTTTGGCTTCACTCACATGCGGCTATGTAGTCGGATGTGGGCCATTGTGTGCACTGTATGCGCTACTTGGCAGTCTTGTACACCATTTTTTGGAACGTAACTGCCGCATAAAGCGAGGGAAATCTGTTATTATTACTGTGCTACAACATCATATTTTCTGTGTCTAACTGTGATTGCAATAACTGGTGGTCAAAACACTTTCATCTGCTAGAAAATTAATTTAACAGCCACATTTTGGCAGTAATATAAATTTAATATTTTTTAAGAATTGAAGGCCATTCATTTTCTGTGTGCAAGCATCACATGTCTCAGTGTCCTCACATTGCTTAAGCAAAATAATGAAATGGTATAGTGTTTAGAGCGCCTGACTCACGACCGCTTGTGTTGCGATCGAAACGTCGTAGTTTGTTGTTATTTTCTTTTCTTTGAACCTATCTACGTGACTTCACCGAAAGACCCAAGAACACAACCTGTGACGTGAGTTTAAAATCTTAGTCGGTGGTCATTCCAGGATATCATCGCTCCGGGACTCCCTTCACACAAGACGTCGGTTTTCTTCGTGTGCTCCAGTTTCCTCCCACATTATGCATAAACGCTCATTACTTGGCTGAAAACATCTTAGTATATCTAGAGAACTGCAGAGCTTGGGTAACTGTTGTTAGCACCGGCTTACAGCCCTGGTTGTTGCATTCGAGCTTGTCTGTGGTTCCACAGCGATTACGAGACGCTATTTTAAAATCAACATTATTAAAAGGACTACCATTTTAAGGGAACCCAACGTTGACCAAGTAGGGTTAATGAGTCCTATATATTTTGATTTAAAGCTGTCGTGACTGCAGGGATTCATATTCTTGGTTCTTTCGATAAAGTCACGTAGAAGGGAAGCTTTTGTTGCAGTCGAAACGTCGTGAGAATTTTATTGTTTAATATTTTTATTATTTTATTATTTCCCTTCTACGTGACTTTACCGAAAGAACCAGGAATATGAGTCCTATATAGTTTCCCCGATATAATTCAACACTATGACATAGCATCAATTGTGAAAATATGACAATTATCGCGATATCCTACAATGTAACAATTGTATTTTTTATGAAGTATGTATGTATATTGAACTTCTTTCACATCGTATGTAGCCAGCCGTGATAATCATAGATTGTTAATTTACTGGTTGTGTGCTTTGATGTACTCAAATTATGAATAAAGATGACTCAAAAGTTCTTCAACTGCAGTTCACCCAACACAAGTCTACCATAAGTCCTCTAATCTTTGTAACTTTTAAATCTATAATTATTTTAACGTAGATGGCTGTCAGTTACAAGAGATATAAATACTGTACTTATCTCACGAATATTTTTTGTCAGGAATTAAGATATATATCGCAAATTACGAACGATATTTTGCAAAACTGATGATGCGATTATGGTGCACCTCATGTCGTACGATATATCGTAATATCCCATTATCGCGGCATCCCGAGAAAGTAGTCGCCCCCCTGGGTAGGCAGGTACCTGCAGGCCCTCACGCGCTGTTAGGCACGGGGGTTAAAGCCCGTTAAGTCGGGTAATTACAGCAGGAATCGCTGCTCAGCGGGGGCTCCTCCATAATTACCCACACCGAATGGCGTGACGCCACAAGGAGCACTCTTCTCTTCCTCCTCCGGTCACGGCTTTGTCAATACCGTGCAGTGCTCGCGTGTGTGTGAGTACGTGAGTACGTAGTGCAATGCCAGCGTGTGTGCGAGTACGTCAGTATGTAGTGCTGTGCCAGCGTGTGTGCGAGTACGTGAGTACGTAGTGCAGTGCCAGCGTGTGTGTGAGTACGTGAGTACGTAGTGCAATGCCAGCGTGTGTGTGAGTACGTGAGTACGTAGTGCAATGCCAGCGTGTGTGCGAGTACGTGAGTACGTAGTGCAGTGCCAGCGTGTGTGCGAGTACGTGAGTACGTAGTGCAGTGCCAGCGTGTGTGCGAGTACGTGAGTACGTAGTGCAATGCCAGCGTGTGTGTGAGTACGTGAGTACGTAGTGCAATGCCAGCATGTGTGCGAGTACGTGAGTACGTAGTGCAGTGCCAGCGTGTGTGCGAGTACGTGAGTACGTAGTGCAGTGCCAGCGTGTGTGTGAGTACGTGAGTACGTAGTGCAATGCCAGCGTGTGTGTGAGTACGTGAGTACGTAGTGCAATGCCAGCGTGTGTGCGAGTACGTGAGTACGTAGTGCAGTGCCAGCGTGTGTGCGAGTACGTGAGTACGTAGTGCAGTGCCAGCGTGTGTGCGAGTACGTGAGTACGTAGTGCAGTGCCAGCGTGTGTGCGAGTACGTGAGTACGTAGTGCAGTGCCAGCGTGTGTGCGAGTACGTGAGTACGTAGTGCAGTGCCAGCGTGTGTGCGAGTACGTGAGTACGTAGTGCAGTGCCAGCGTGTGTGTGAGTACGTGAGTACGTAGTGCAGTGCCAGCGTGTGTGTACGTGAGTACGTAGTGCAGTGCCAGCGTGTGGTGAGTAGTGCAGTGCCAGCGTGTGTGTGAGTACGTGAGTACGTAGTGCAATGCCAGCGTGTGTGTGAGTACGTGAGTACGTAGTGCAGTGCCAACGTGTGTGCGAGTACATGAGTACGCAGTGCAATGCCAGCGTGTGTGTGCGAGTACGTAAGGGGGAGTGCTGAACTACGAATTCGTTGGCCCGAGTTCGATTCCCGCTCACAGCCAGCACCATTGACGATTTCTCTGAACAGGTCCTGGGCCTTCTCCATAGGCCCTCGCTAACATCACTTGCCCTGATAGTCTATTTAGGATATATGGGGGATATTTGTATTTTCTATGTGTGTATGAGTGTGACTATGTGTGTTTACGTCCGTGTGTGTGTGAGTGTAACTTTACTGCTTGTGTACGTGTGTGCGTGTATGCGTGTGCGGTGGTCCGGTGAAGGTGCCCTCAGACGCAGCGTGTTTGTCGTGCATCAGTGAACGCTCTGTAGGCTTTGTTCTTGCGTTGTTGTTGTTGTTTGTAATTTGATTGTGCAAGACTGGGTTGTGCAGCCAATTGGCGAAGAAAGGTCTGAATACAAACATCTCAACAGAGTCCACGGTGGCCTTTCCGCCAGAAAATAGAAATTGGCAGTTTTGTTATTCTATGAAATAAATCAAAATAAATAAATTTGCCACATTTTCCATCCACATCACCGTTGGTATTTAGTATGTGTATGTGCCATATATTAACTAGGAATGTAACATCATCAATTGTAAAGCGCTTAGACAATTTTAAATCGATTCTTATGCTCGTGATGCAGGCATTTAATCACGTATGTCAGAATTGAGTCTCCATGATTCATGCAAATGACTTACAAATTGTATTTTTAAAAATCGCTCACGTTATATGTGGCGTGGAGCAGTGGTGCAGTGGTTCGCGCACTGCATTATGAACCCGTAGACCCGAGTTTAATTCTACGCCACGGCAAACACTGCCCCCATGACCAAACCGCACGAACCAGTGTGGCGAAGTATGGTCAAACAACAATCATGGCAAAAAGCTATACGTTTAAATGTTTTACTCATGGAGCAAACAAAACTGGACAAAAAGAGAGAACACAAATTAGTCCAGGAGAACAGGGGGCAGCCAGCAATGCTGGTGAAATGCAGTTTCCACCATAAGTGCCAATTGCAACTCACATTACTGGTGACAGCTGATGCCAGTGACGGCTGGTTGTACCGGTGAGAGCCAGTAACATCAGTGAGAGGCAGGACAACAAGTGACAGCCGGAGACGCTTGTGGTATCCGGTAACACCAGTGGCATTAAGTAACACTGGTGACAGTCGGTAGTCTCAGCCAGTCGAGCCAGCGGTGCCAGTCGGTGACGCTACTGACGGCCGGTATTGCCGAAGATGGACAGCTGAATTTGGCGGTGTCTCATTTAGCTGGTGACGGTAGTTAACACGAGCAGAAGCTGGTTGTCTCGGTGGTGTGATTGTGCGTCGGTGATGCTGGTGGCGGCCTGTTTTACCGGTGGTAGCATCCGGGACCTCACCTTGACGGTTCCCTCGGCTTCCACGAACCAGCGGCGCAGCATCGACTCGACGCGGCCCTCGCTGAGCTCCGGGTTCGCCTGCAGGATCCGCTTCCTCGCCTGGTTCTCCAGCAGCAGCCGGCGCAGGCGCCAGTAGAAGAATGTGCGTGACGTCTTCCACTCCAGTACGTCCTGCGCGACGCGCACACGCGTGCTCGTTTAGCACCGCACGCAAAGGGGTGGTCGCGGTGTCGCGAGATGTATCGCTGTGTCACGCAGTGAACCACTGTGTCACGTAATGTGATGCTGTGGTATTGGGTACTGTGTTACTGTGTCACACAATCTGTTATTATGTTTATTAGGTAATGCGTTACTGTGTCACGTAACACAATGTATCGTCCTGCTGCATTGCGTTACTGTTTCACACGGTGTATTTTTCGTTTCATGATCAACCCAAGACATTGAAAACCTCTTCCTCATCGCCAACCCCACCACCCTTTGTCTTCCTGCTTCAACCTGCCGCGCCAAGTCAAGGGCCCTGATCAATAGGTTCCATTACCGGCCAGGGTCCGGGTGCAGCAGCCAACCTCCGCACACCAGGAGCCAACGTCACCAAAACCCAACTCTGTGCATTGGGTCAGCGACGGACTATGTCATACGTTGTCCATTGGAACCTCATTTGCCAGTAAAAAATATGATAATTGTTTTTTTACCCTTCTATCTGGCAACAAAACTGACACCTTTTTTACAAGGAGTCATGTTTACATAGACCACAATACCTGCGGTCATAATGCAAACAAAAAACATAACTCTGATAATGTGCACTGTCCTTGAAGTTGATTGGTCCACACCCGAGACAGCTTTCCTTAGAGACTAGTCTCACATGGTGTTGGACCAGATGACGCCAGGAAAGCTGTCTCGGGTGTGGACTAATCAACTTCAAGGACAGTGCATACATTATCAGAGTTATGTATTTTGTTTGCATTATGACTGCAGCTATTGTGGTCTATATAAACATGACTCCTTGTAAAAAATGTGTCAGTTTTGTTGCCAGATAGAAGGGTAAAAAAACAATTATCATATGTCATACATTGTCCATGGGTGGCCCCTGACTAGAATCGCCAGTGGACCGAGGGCCCTCCCTCTCCGCACTGCTGATGAAGCGGCTGTCTCTTGGCTCGGCAAGACGAGCTTACGATAATAATAAAATTACATGTTGTATTATTGCGTCACATAATATGCCGTCACTGTGTTTGTTGCATCACAGTGTGTGTTAACATAAGACATCGCTGTGCCATTTGATTTAATTGATTTATAACATACCGATTCACTGTGCCACAGAACGTATCAGTATGTCACACTATACCGCGTCACATGCCGCGTCATAGCATGCAGTGCAATGTTACGTTGTTTTAGAGTGTTGTGTCAAATTGTGTCACATCACGTGACATGTCACATCATATCACATTATTTAATACATAATGTGCCATTGCATTGCATCATTATCCATCAGGATGTAACAATACACTTTGACACAGTTATCAAACACAACATACAACACATCGTGGAACAGTTATTCAACAGAGGAAACAATAATACACTGTGACACAAAGCCACATTACGCGACACAGTAATATAAAACCCAATGCAGCAACACATCATATGACACAGCAACGCATTACATGACTAATCAACAATACAAACGCTCACACGGACACGATGAATGAATACACATTCAAAACTACGCGGTGCCTTGTGGTATCTACGTGATGCTGTGTTGGTGCACTGCAGTGCGGTATGGTTCTGTGCTATGCGGTGTTGTTGCAGTGCAGTGCGGTATGGTTCTGTGCTGCGTGGCGGGTTGTGTGGTTCTGTGCTATGCTGTGCTGTTGCAGTGCAGTGCGGTATGGTTCTGTGCTGCGTGGCGGGTTGTGTGGTTCTGTGCTATGCGGTGTTGTTGCACTGCAGTGCGGTATGGTGCTGTGCTGCGTGGCGGGTTTGTGTGGTTCTATGCTATGCTGTGTTGTTGCAGTGCAGTGCGGTATGGTTCTGTGCTGCGTGGCGGGTTGTGTGGTTCTGTGCTATGCGGTGTTGTTGCAGTGCAGTGCGGTATGGTTCTGTGCTGCGTGGCGGGTTGTGTGGTTCTGTGCTATGCGGTGTTGTTGCAGTGCAGTGCGGTATGGTGCTGTGCTGCGTGGCGGGTTGTGTGGTTCTGTGCTATGCTGTGTTGTCGCAGTGCAGTGCGGTATGGTTCTGTGCTGCGTGGCGGGTTGTGTGGTTCTGTGCTATGCTGTGTTGTTGCAGTGCAGTGCGGTATGGTTCTGTGCTGCGTGGCGGGTTGTGTGGTTGTGCTATGCTGTGTTGTAGCAGTGCAGTGCGGTATTGTTCTGTGCTGCGTGGCGGGTTGTGAGGTTCTGTGCTATGCCGTGTTGTTGCACTGCAGTGCGGTATGGTGCTGTGCTGCGTGGCGGGTTGTGTGGTTCTCTGGGGGGCTGTGCGGTGTGCGGTGCACTCACCGTGATGGCTCCCTTCTCGTGCATGCGTCCCGGCGTGTCGTGCAGGTCGGCAAACTTGACGGCCACCTGGTGGTAGATGGGCAACAGGAACTCCTCACGCTCCTTCAGCTTCCCCTCCAGCTCCTTCTTCTCCGTGGCGCTCAGCTCAGGAGTCCCTGCAAAGCGAAACAACGACGACGAGTCAGCAACCATCGGCAAAATTGGCAGCGGCGGTGACGGCTGTAGCCATGGCTTAATTTTTCACTGAAATATTTCCCAGGTCGCTGGGAGACTCGAGTAGGTGGTGAGTGACTATTAGTAGCCACAGCCAAAGCAAAAATGCATACTGGATGTGGTGTGATCATCGTTTTCCAGGTCGCTGGTAAACTAGAGTAGGTGGCATGTGATTACACTGGTCAACACACTTTTTCTGACATAAGGTATTCCAACGGTTTTAAGGTAATTTTGGGGTGCTGATTCCAAATCTGGCATCAGTTTTTGTCTATCACATCAGGTTTTTGAGATATTAAATATTGCATTTTCAATAAAAACTGCAGAAGAAAAATATTAAATAAATGTGGATATCTACATCAAATGATATTATAAACACACTATCCTAAAAATACACCACCGTATTTTAACACTAAAGCAGTCACTGACTCGCAACAACTTGCAATCATAAGTGACAGAGTTAATTTCGGGTAAAATCAATGAAAATGGGGTATGCCGATAGCATAAAATGAGATGTGATAGAGCAAATCTGACATCAGATTTGGAATCAGCACCCTGAAATTAGTCTAAAACAGCTGCAAAAGTCCAGGCCAGAGAAAAATGTTTTATTTTGTTGACCCGTGTTATTGTGTTATTAGTATACCAGGTCACTTGTGCAAAATAAACTATTTTGGTTTCTTGAGTATTCACCTCGTCACAAATACATTTGATCCACAGCCATAGTAAAGAGTATAGTGGATGCGGTGGGCCGGGCGTGGAAATATTTTCGTGGTTGCCAACCTGGACAAACAAGCCTGAAATTGAGCCCTGCTGATGGCTCCCCTCGCTAATAATATCACTCGTTAACAACTGACACATCCTGTAGTCCTGGTGGGTTCTTACCTGGTTATATCATGATGCCTGTCTATTTCATATTTTTTAATGGTCTTTGATTTGTGTTTAAAGTGTACAACCGTACCCTTGTTTATATATATTAATCTGAATCTCCCCCATAGTCTGTCTCGGGCTCTCAACCAACTAGAAAAAGTATCCTCTTGGTTCTTTCGGTAAAGTCACATAGAAGGAAAATAATAAAATTATAAAAATAAAACATAATAAAATAATTCTCACGACGTTTCGGCCACAACGCAAGCAGAAGGCCTTCTCGACAGACCTGTTCTCCACCTGAAGACGGCTGCTTGCGTTGTGGCCGAAACGTCGTGAGAATTATTTTATTATGTTTTATTTTTATTATTTTATTATTTTCCTTCTACGTGACTCTACCGAAAGAACCAAGAAGATGAATCCCTGCCGTCACTGAAAGCTTTAAATAAAAAAAGTATGCTTTATTGAAAGAAAGAAAATAGCAATGTATGTGTTGCTCTTTGCAGACGATGGCCGTAGAGGCAACAGATTGTTTCACTATGTGGGTTACCCCCATCAAATGCAGTGTGAGTTTTCTCCGGGTTCTCCAGTTTTCTCGCACATGAGGTCAAACGCTCATGAATGGAAATGGCCAAATATACCAAACGTAGCAGGACCGTCCTAAAAAAAATTGTAAAAGCTTCAGCCAGCAAAGCTTTCCTGGATAAAGGGCAATATTTATATTATAGAGACAAGACACTGGTCTCTAGCAGAGGAATGTGGAATTTCCACAAATTTCCCATAACTTTCAGTGGAAGATGAGCACTATGAATGTAGATAATTGTGGAAATGTCTACGTTTAAGATAATATTATTATACTTTTCTTTTTTGAAAGCATGTACAACTTGTAACGTGCAACACTTTTAATTCAAAGGCATTCGCAATACAATATTACGATTTACAATTGTCACATGACAACCTTATTACTTGGCTGTGTCGGGTGGATGAGGGTTTACAACACACATTTTATTTACACAATCTGACCCAATCATCAATTATGAATAATAACACTTTGCTGCCACTGTTGTCTGTCTGGTGGCCAAGTTACCCTTGAAAAAAAAAAGAGTTGGGTGGCTCAAATAAGCTTTACTTGGGAAATAATCTTCTGAATGGAATTTTGAAATTCTTATTTGAGATACAAATACACTTTCACTTAAGTTTGACATTGTAATGCGGACTCCACTGTGACAAAACAATCCATTGTTGTACTGTCATTCTGTGTTCCCATGCCTGTGCTCCACATGGTCACCAACCCATACTAATCATACTCTTAGGTTTTTTCGATAAAGTCACGTAGGTAGAAATAAATAATACTAATTGAAATAATAATAGAAATAAAATAATAAAGCACGACGTTTCGGAGGCAACACAAGTCTCCGTCATCAGGTGGGACCGTCACAGCTAGATTTACTGCATCAAGTTGATACAGTAAATTGTGCAACACTTGATACAGTAAATTTAGCTGTGACGGTCCCACCTGATGACAGAGACTTGTGTTGCCTCTGAAACGTCGTGATTTATGATGTTATTTCTATTATTTCTATTATTTTTATTATTTATTTTTAGCTACGTGACTTTACCGAAAAAACCTAAGAGTATGAATCCTTGCAGTCACGAATACTTCAAATCTAGAATCCATACTAATCAGTGTGGTGACCTACGATGAAATAACCCCCCACAAGCCACACAACATGGGTAGCTCCTCATCCAGCAGTGGATTGACAACAACAAAATTATAAATGTACATGTACATCACCATCATGACCACTTGCATAAACGTAAAGAGTACCACCCACAAACGGCCAGAATATTTATAAACAAACAAACAAATAAATTCCAGCCATTCCAAATGAGGGCCTCCCACACATTATGTTGACCATTAGGGTATTTTTTCACCATACTTCACCATTCTGGTCAATGCAAGTTTGCGAAGTCCAGCGGACGAGTTGGTGCAGGGGGGCATCAGAACTGGTTGTGATTTCACTTCGCACTAAAGCTATGGCCAGGAATTTAAACTGAGTCTTCGAGTTCATAGTGCAGATCACGATACACCCGGCCACTGTTCCCACTGCTTCAACCCCAATGGATTTAAGCTCGAGTCAATTCGTTGCCGCCACTCCCCGACCCAACTTCCTCATTCCCCCTTCGCTCCTTCTCCTCCATGGACCATGGCCGTGCCTGGGCCTGAATTAAACGACAAATGTAACGCTACTCATGGGGGACAAACAAAGCCACGGGCAAACAGATGTTTAGCGAACCCTGCCACGTAATGAACTCTAACCCCTAATCAAACGCCGCTGCAGAACGGGCCGCAGATCAAAACACTTACGCTTAACCTCTCCACCCGCCTCCCACATCATCGCCCCCCTCACCCTTCCGCCACCCAATAACCATCACGTGACAAAATGAGCCCAATTTATTCTTCTGCAGACGTGCGCGGATACGTTGCTATGTCCCTCCTTTAAAATTGTGCAACACATTCCTGTGAAACGCGTGTTCCGCATCAAGAAGTAGTCGAAGGACAATTGGAAGAATTATAATTCTGGTCATAAATGTCAAATTCGTCCTTCATATCTCTGGGGTTGACGTAATTAGTCCGATACAATGTTTGGAAAGTGGATCCCACGAAGTAACTGAATCTAGCCATAGGAATGTGGAATTGCCACCACTATCTAAGCATTGCGGGGTGATGAGCACCCCACAAAGCTCATAATAATTTCGTATTTTTTGGCATTATTTTATTCTGATTGTGCTATAATTAGTCCGATACAATGTTTGGAAAGTGGATCCCACGAAGTAACTGAATCTAGCCATAGGAATGTGGAATTGCCACCACTATCTAAGCATTGCGGGGTGATGAGCACCCCACAATGCTCATAATAATTTCGTATTTTTTGGCATTATTTTATTCTGATTGTGCTATAATTAGTCCGATACAATGTTTGGAAAGTGGATCCCACGAAGTAACTGAATCTAGCCATAGGAATGTGGAATTGCCACCACTATCTAAGCATTGCCGGGTGGTTGAGCACCCCACAATGCTCATAATAATTTCGTATTTTTTGGCATTATTTTATTCTGATTGTGCTATAATTAGTCCGATACAATGTTTGGAAAGTGGATCCCACGAAGTAACTGAATCTAGCCATAGGAATGTGGAATTGCCACCACTATCTAAGCATTGCCGGGTGGTTGAGCACCCCACAATGCTCATAATAATTTCGTATTTTTTGGCATTATTTTATTCTGATTGTGCTATCAGTGTCATGTGATGAGAGGAATAATCCATTTGGACCTGCTGCAGAATCGTGTATCACCCTCTATTGGAGAAGGGTCTGAGGAAGAAGATATCAGAGAACTAATTCTGAGATCCCTTTATAGTGATCTCTTATTCAAGCCACCCTGCTACAGTGAGACAGGTCAATCGCAAGATAGTTAAATCACTATTATTTTTTTTTATTCTCAGAGTTAAAATTCAGTTACATTTCATGCAAACCCAAATGTAATCGTCTGGTTTTCTTGTGCTGCCATTGGGTGACTGTGCTGAGATCATCAGGGACCAAGCTTACTCATGGGTGACTGACACCTGTTTTTGAATCCATGATCTGTGGTACCAGCTCAGTGTCTCTGACCTCCAGTGAGAGACTGTGATATTCCTTTAAATATAAACTGTACTGTATATATACAAAGACCAAGATCCCCATATAACTAACAAAGACTTTTGGGGCAAGTGCTCTTAGTGAGTACCTATTAAGGCATGAGGGTCCAAGACCAGGCTTAACCATCTTTGTCTTCTCAGTGCACTAACCAATAAGCCACCACTCCCTGCATGCTGTGTGTGTATACACAGTTTTATCAGATATACTGCCTACTACAGTGCGATACTGTAATCAGTGAACCAATAAAAAGATCACCTTGATCAAATTGGATATATGGATTTATTTCCATTATTTAAGGTAGGCGAGAACCCATTGAAACAACACTTCTCATTAGCAATGGTGATTGCAATTAGAATGCAAATACTTAGCAGTAATTTTTTTTA